CCCGGAGTACCTGAGCGTGGGCCCGATGCAGGCCGTGTCGGTGCTCTCGATCTCCCGCAGGATCCGCTCGTGCTCCGCCGCGGTCTCCAGGCTCTCCGCCTCCGCCATCTTTCCCCGCTCCATAGACCGGGGGCACCCGGCAGCGCGTCCCCTCCCTCAGCTCGGCTCACCTTTCGCTCCCTCACACTCCCTCTCTCACCCTGGACTCTACGGCCGCCCCAGCCTCTGGCTACCCACAGGGCGACCCCTCCCTCGGACTTGGCACGCCCCCTTACGTCACCGCGTCCGGCAACGTTTCCCTGCAATGAGCGCTGGGATTTGTAGTTCTCTGGAAGATGGGGGGGCTGGGTGCCTTTTCATTTATTTATTCATTGATTCCACAAACAGGTATTGAAAACCCGCAATTAGCCAGAGACAGAGACGCTGCATATCTACAGGTGTGGGGTGGGTGGGAATCAAGAATGGCACTAATGCCACAAAGTCTTGTTTAACACCCTTGTCACACAAAGTGCAAAAGGCACTGTAAGTGCAAATAATAAGGGCAAATTATGGTAGGCCCAAAACTCTCATGTACAGCAGAATGTTGCAGTAAGAGAGTTCAGAGAAAAACTCGGGGGTCACATCTGACTTTGAAGTCCTGAAAGGTTATGTGATGTGACGGGATGGTGTGAGGGGGCTCCAGGAAGAATTCATTTTCCCTGGCATGTAGAGAAATGAGCAGCAAAGGTGTTGAGGAGAAATATTGTGAAGAACCTTAAGTACTGAGCTAAGAAGTTTTTATTGAATTCTAATGGTTCCGCTAGTCCAACAATCATCTGCATCAAAAGAACCTGGAAGATGTTTTATTTTGTAGTGTTTTCTAATACAGGCTACAGATGTGACATCTGAAGATTCAGCTGCAGCCAACTCCCCAGGTCAGAATTTAAAGATTAGATTTATTCATCACTATTTGAGTTTTGCAAAACACAAAACCGTTAAGGGTTTTTAAGAAGAGCAGAGACACAATCAGAACCTTGGCATTAGGAAACTTAATCAAGGGCAAGTATGCCTCTAATGCATCTAAGGTACACTTACTGGTGTCTGGAGAAAAGAAGAATAAAGGAAATCCAAGACACAAGGGAGAAATAACGCCAACAAAACATAGTCTTTCTAGCTTGAGACCAGAAGAACAAGATGGTACCCAGCTACCAATCGTTCCAGCCCTGGGCACAATGGAAGACTCCTGTTAGAATGGGAGGAAAATGTCAAACCAATTCACATTTATAGAAAAGATCAGACTGACTGGACTGAAGACTAGAGGAACCCCAGAGATAAAAGCCTTAAGATACCTTTCTAACCTGACGCTGGAGCCATTCCTGCGGGTCACTTTCCAGCCAAATGATAGATTGGCCTATAAAATAAACAGTAACACTTATGAGGAATGTGTTCCTTTTAAAAATCACATTGACTAAATGGTCAACCTTTATACAAAAGCAACGATGAGAAGACAACGGGAGACAAAGAAACTGGATGGCTGGAAACAAAGCAGACACGGTGGAAGTGGTGAGAGGACTGATAAATTCAGGAACTGTGACCTCTGGAGTTACAGAGAATTTGGAGTTACAGAGATGGAATTTGGAGATGGAAGCTATTACAGGAAATAAGGTCTGAAGTAGGGATGTGATAATGAGAATAAAAAAGAACTAACAAATATGGAGAACACTGTAGAGGAGAAATGGACAGAATTTACTAGATACAGAAGATGCCTTGGTGTGCACTGGGCTAACCTGGGCTGCTAACCATAAGTCAGTACAGTGAACCCTCGTCTATCACGGTTAATCGGTTCTAGACCCTACCGTGATAAATGAAATTCCGCGAAGTAGGATTCCTTATTTGTAAATCAAATATTTTCGTAGTTAGAGCATAGAGGACATGAAAAAACACCCTTTAGTCACCATTACACTCGCAAACAATTACAGTACACTGTACAAAAGCAAAAATGCATCTGATACATAGCTCCGATACGTAGCAATGCAGACAGAAGCATGTACAGTATGAGCCAATCAGTGGCAGTAATGACAGAGCATGCGCTGTTACGCAAAAACCGCGATAGAGTGAAGCCGCGGAAGTCGAAGCGCGAAGTGGCAAGGGTTCACTGTAGTGCAAACTTACCAGCTGCTCCACAGGAGAAAGATGAGACTGTCAGCTTCCAGAAAGATTTACAGTCTAGAAAACCCTCTGGAGCAATTCCATTCTGTCCTAGAGGGTCTCTATGAATTCAATCAACTGAATGGCAGTAAATGGCAGATAATAGATACAGGGGAGAGATTGGGTACTGATCCAAGGTTTAGAGCCAGAGTGGGAGAATGGGGTTGCCACCAACAAAAATAAGGGCTATCAGAACAACCAAACCGCAAGTTGAAGTTATAAGGAACAGTTTGGTGGTGCTGTCGAGTAAGCATTGTACTGTTAACCACAAGATCAGCAGTTCAAATCCACTAGCTGGATCCATAGGAAAAGATTAAATGACCCCTCTTGTAAAAAAATATAGAGAAAAAAAAAAGAGAGAGAGAAATATAGAGAGAGAGACTCAAACGCTCTATATGGGGTCACAATGAGTTGGAATGGACTCGATGGCTGTGAACTTGGTTTTGGGGTGTTTTTTTTAAGAGTAAATATTCACTTAAATGCTTAAATATGCATAAAATATAAGTTGAATATTTCTGAAAGAATACCCAAGAACTTGTTTCCAATACTAGCAGTTAGGAAAATGGGTTGAGAGGAAGGGATCTGGAGTAGCAGGGATTTAATATTAAATCATGTATATCATTTACACTTTTGAATTCTCCCACTTACATATTATTGTTGGGTAAAAACTAGTAGTTACCAGGTGAACATTCATGTTAAAAATAAACCACTCAGGAGTCAAGGGAGTAGCTCCTGGTTTACCCAGCAAGTTGCTAAACCTGTCTGTTTCCAGCTTATCTCACGCTGTCCTCGTTTTTTTTACATTGCTTTCCTGCTTCCTTTCAGCCAGATGTAGGAGCGGCAGGGAGCGTATAAACTCTACAAACTCACTACCATTGAGTCAGTTCCAACTCGCGGGACCCACAGGACAGAGTAGGCCTGTGCCTGGGGGTTTCTGAGACTGTAACTCTTTACGGGAGTAGAAAGCCTCGTCTTCTCCAGGGAGAATAAGGAGTCTTATGTTTTAGTTTTTGTTTTTTTTGACTCATGTTTTTAAAGGTCTCTTGAAGAAAAAATGCAGACGCCCCCTTCAGGCACCTATTTTAGCATCTCACTGGGCAAAAAAAAAAAATGTTTCATCCATCACAGGAAACAGAATGGCATGTAGACTGGATATATTACAGGAGATTTTAAGGCCTGAAATAGGGACATGAAAATGACATGGATGTGACATGATACACATCCATATGTATAGTTATGGTTACACTAGCTGCTGCTGCTGTCGATAGAGACCCCAGATCTTACTGATAAGGCTGTATGGTCTAAAGTTACTGGTGTCACTTGAGGGAGGGGGATCTGCCCTCCAAATAGAGCAGATGGAGGGTGTCAGGTCCCTGCAGAATGACCAGGAAAACACTGGACCAAGAGCAGGGTCTTTGATTCAGTTCTGATAGTCGTTGCTAAAAATTGGGTTTTGCATGTTCTGTGCGCCAGGCACATTGCACAAATTCTGCACTTCACATCCATCAACTTCATTAAATACAGTAATCCTTTGCATTCAATATTATACGTTGATGAGTAGGTTGAGAGGCTAGGCAAAACCCTAAATATCGCACAACTCGTTGCTAGTAAATGATGAAGCTGCTTTGGAAATTCAAGGTCATCTGATTCCAAAAGCCATTTCCTACCAAACGTCCACACTGCCCCTCCAAGGGTCTCCACTGGCTCTAGTTTACCATGTGAGCTTAAGCAAAGCCATCCCTCTGCCGTTTCGCGTCTGCTTGCACATTCCTATACTAGATTGTAGGCTTTCTCAAACTTTTCCAAACTACACCTTAAAGCTCCCCTCACAGAACCTTTTCCTTCCAATTAACCACGTGAATGAACCCGTTTCTTCTTCTCCAGCATCGCTAGATTCCCACTGCTCCCGCTAGATTCCCACTGCTCCCAACTGCCACTTCTAGACTACCGTTCCACCACCCTGATTCCTCGGCTGGCTCGCCTATGACACCCTGATTCCTCGGCTGGCTCGCCTATGAAGGCTCAGACAATTGGTGTACCACAGTCATTTACTAATGCCCGCATTTCCCAGAGGTTTTACCATTTGGCTCACAGCTTTCCTCTCCTCTTCATACTCTGTCATCATCCTAAACCACTTTGACATCAACATAAGTAATCCACTCAACATCGGATCTCTTGGGTTTCAACTCTACCTACCCGATCCTCATGCCACATCGGCAATATATTCATGACTTTGCCTTTTGCCTTAAGACCGCACAAGCACTGCTCTCTACCCTCAAGACAGTAAATCCTCAAATCCCTTTCTCTTCCTGTTCTTTTTTCCATCTGCCTCTCCCTCTACCTGATTTCTGTGGGACTCACTTTACTATAACCCTGATCTTCATCCCTGATCCCTGTGTCATCTATAAGCTTCTTTTCCTTTCTATCTTAGGGCTTCTTCTATCCGACCCGGCAATTCAGAGACATGTGAGTTTGATTCCTGTTTCCACCACTTACCAACTGGATGAATTTGGGAAAGTTGCTTGATTTCTTTAAGATGGAATTGTCTCATATATAACGTAGACCTCATGGTATATAAATAACTTGGAAAGCTGAAGAATTAGAAAAAATATTTAAAAATGAAAGAAAGAATATAGCAGGCCTACAACAGGGCTTGGTAGAATCAATGTTAATGTCTATCCAGATGAGCTCCATGAATCGCCGAACTAAGCTTTCTCTAAGTCTCTAGCTCCCTTTTACCTCTTAAACTTTCACCATACCCACATTGTCAGTCTTTCTCTTATTGTAGCCAGGATAGGAGAGAGGGAAGAAACTATAACTATGACAACCAGCACCACGACACAGTGTGGTCCCTCATCATCTAGTCCCTCAGGGATGCTCACTCATCCCCTGACTTCCATCCCTGTGCACCGCATCCGCATACAATCCTTTGTTCTGCTGCTGAAGACCCTAGCTCTGTTCCCAGTCCTCTTTCCCCCTGCAAATGCCTTTGCCTCCCATTTCATTAAAGAG